CCACACAATTTTCCCTAGTCCCCACTTAAGCACGGGCTAATATTTATGTCAGCCACTGTTGAAAGTACTTAACATGTGTTTGTGAAACTTCATGCAACCTTACAGAATATTAGTATTTTCATGTTATAGATAAGGAATAAAGCCTAAAGAGGTGAAGTAATTTAACCAAGGTTCCTCAATGCACAGAGTCAAATCCAGGAGGTCTGGTTTCACGACTCTGCTCATAACTCCTTTATGGCCTCCTGCTCCAGGTAAAAATGTCCAGCCATCCGGAAAGAAATCACTGGTTTAACTGTGGAAATGAAAATAAGGGCGGCTTTTGATCTTTCTTGGATGCCTGTAAGCCGATCCTGTAGTTCTCTGAGGCAAAACCAGAGAGGATTTATAGTCAAGCTATGCCTTAGAACTGGGCATAAACCTTTATGCCTGGGGCTGGGGATTTAGCTCAGCGGCACAGCGCCCGCCTGGCAAGCGCAAGGTCCTCAGTTCGGTTCCCGGTACCAGAAAAACAAACAAACCAAAAAAAATAAGTAAACCTTTATGCCTGTCAACCGGAACTTGTCCCTAAAAATGTAAGGAGTATCTTCAGCATCTGAATGATGGCAGGCCTGTCCTCACCATCTAATGCGGATGTAAACGCTTGTATGCTTTAAATGCGGATGGTTATGACGCCCAGCGCTCTGACCTCAAACGTGTAGTGCTTAACTTTAGAAATTCAAAACCAAGACCTAACCTGGGCCTCTTGGCTGGGCAAAGGTGGTAAGATTACACGCAGGCAGTGTGCCTCCACATGCTAAAACAGCAAATGCCAACGTCGGTATTAGCTAGAACTCAGCCTCCACCTTTCCCTCCTGGTCATCCCTCTTCTTCAATTCACCTGGTGTCCAGCCTCGTCTTCCGTAATTTCCTACCCGCTCCTGGTTATCGAGATCCCTTCCCTCCTCTGTAAAAGCACCCTGTCCTTTGAGGTACCATTTCTTCTTCAGACGTTTTCTAGTACTGGAGGTTCACAGTGCTTCTCTTCTTCCTGCAGCGCTTACTCTCTGTACCACTCACGTGATCCCCTAATTCCCAGCTCACCTACTGTGTTTGTTTCTCACCAGACCAGACTAGGTGATGTGGCAGAAATTTATTAATCCTTTTAGTAATGCTGCCCGGCAACGTTCGAAACGCTAGACAGACAAGTCCCAATTGCGTAGAGCTTACACTGTAGTGGAGACAGAAATAAAACAGTAAGCGGGTGCTATGGAGAAACGCCGAGGAACGGAGTGGTGGGCGTTACACGGGAGGTCTGTGGATCCTCTCTCTGCAGCGACCGGACGCTGACAGGCAGCCCGCAAGCGCCGCATCTGGCGCGTCCGAAGGCGCTGGACCGTGGGGTTAGGGGTGGTGCGGAGGAGCCCAGCCCCAAGCACTCGGTTCTCCTGGGCTGGCTCTGCGAGAGGCCGTCGTCCCCTGGGGGGTCTTCGGGTCTTCATGCATTATTTGCCATGTAGGCCTTCGAGGATCGCAGATCAGGCAATGAGTGAAGGCAGAAGTGACCCCAACACTGCGATCTGCAAACGCAGGGCCCCCGGAAAGCGGCGTCCCCCCAGACACACCACCGACGCCCGTAGGTGGAAGGACAGCGGGTCCTCGGGAGGTCGCCCCCCCGCCCCCGCAGTGCCCCCGCGCCGGCCGGCCTCACTCACCGATGGGCTTGTCCAGGCGCATGAGGCGCAGGTAGGGCTGCAGGGGGCGGGAGGAACATGTCTACACCGCCGCGCCGGACAGGCCGATCGCGCGCCCGCGCCGCTCCCTCGGGGCCGGCACCCGCCAGCCCCCCGCTCCGAGCGCCCCTGCCGCACGCGCCAGGGTCAGGGGACGGCAGTGCGAGCCCCACAGCCATGCCGGGGCCACGCTCCTCAATCTCAGCGCAGAGCCAGCTCCCCACAAGGCCAACATAGCGCTCACAAGGCGCGGAACGTCACTTCCGGCGCGACCGGCGCAGGCATGCGCAGTGGCGCCCGCGAAGCCAGGCTTCCGGGGAGGCGGGATGGCTGCGCAGCTTCCGGGTCGCCCCCTCCCGGGGGTCCTCTGTGTGCGGGTACAGCCCCGCCGTCAGCTTTCTCAATGGACGCGAAAGGGAGTGTTTATTTACACAGGTGGTTGTACCAGAAAAAGAAAAGCTGCCAAAAAACTGCTGAACCCAAAATATCAATTTGTGAAACTGTATTCAAGGTTAAGGACGGTCACCGCGCAAGGGAAAACCTGGGATGCCGCAGCCGCGAAGAGCTCGACGGCCTGGCTGTGCCCGGACGCCCAGTGTGCTGGGATCTGGGTCGCCGCTCGGCCCTCTCCGCGGGACCACGGAAGCCACGCCCATTTTAGTCTCCAGGGAGCTGGGTTAAGCCTCAGGCTCCTTTCCTTAAAACCTGCACCCTCGATGCGGTGGTGTCTGCCCGGCTTTGAGTGGGACCAGGCAGGGTGCGCCAGCTTCTTCCACCTGCTGAGAATGACGCCACCCTACGATCTGCCAGGGCTAGACCTGGTGTAACTTGAGTCTGTCCCCAACCTTAAAAGGACATAATGTCCTCTGTTGAATCTATGATCTCTCCAGTGTTAAGTCCAAATTTCCCGACTTGACATCCAAAGCCTCCAACTTCGCCTTTCTTTTCCAGATTACGCCTTCCCTCTCGCCCACGGCTTATACTCCTTATACTCGGCCTCTCCAGGTGATAGAGGCACTTGCTGTACCAAACACCGCGCACCTTCACGGCCTCAGGCTGCTTCGCCTTGCCTAAGTCTACCACAGTCTCTACCTCGTGACTTAAAATTCAAGAGTATCGTGAATACTCTTTCCACCTTTGGGGAAAATAGGATGATCAAACATTTCTTATACTTGAACAGTATATCCATATAGTACAAAGATGAATAAATTATGTTGGAGAATTTTGAGATTCATTTTCAGCACTAATACCAATTACAGTTTGTGTTTATCTACAAGAATAAAGCAGTACTCTGATAGGACTTCCTAGAAGAGAGGCCCATCTGGCATGTGGAAGGAAGCACTAACATTATGGGCGGCGCAATTTGTATTCCAACCCTACAGGCTTATTCAGTGCAGTTTTCTTTCTAGGTAACTGATAGGAGTTCCCAAGACCATTGGCAGGTTCAGCGATCCACCGGGGCACTCCAGGACTCAGTGTATAGTGATCCTCATGGCCGGTTTATTACAACCAAACAATACAAAGCAAAGTCTTCAAGGGGAAAGGGCTCGCGGAAAGATGGCTGAATTATGTGCAAGCTTCCAAATCCTCTCCTAGTAGAGCCAACCAGAAGAGAGCTTAATTCCTTCAGCAGAGAACTGTGGAATGTGTGTGTGGACTGTCACCTCCAGGGAAGTTTGTAGAGCCTCGGTGCCCGGGGTTTTTATCAGGGGCTGCTCGTGTAAGCATCCTGTCTTGCAGGTGCCAGAATTCCAAGCTTAGAAGGAAAGCAGGTGTTCAGTATTAACATATTGTTTTTTGTTTTTTGTTTTTTGTTTTTTTTTTTGTTTTGTTTTTCTCCGGTACCGGGAACCAAACTCACGACCTTGCGCTTGCCAGGCAGGCGCTTTTGCCGCTGAGCTAAATCCCCAGCCCCTAACATATTGTTTAAAAAACATTTTGGGCACAGTGAGCTAATTTTGTCAGTTCTAGAAATAACCTCTCCCAAAATTTAAGTTCCTAGATGGTAGTCAAGGGGCTTGCAAGATCGGTTTTCTAAAGATAGCAGTCTCAAGCCAGCTGTGTGCACCTTTCCTGCACAATAGTACTGTGCAGATGCAACATTGGCGTAACATAGTTACAAAGCTGGAAACAAGTGATACTGCCCTCCTGTATAATGAAAACCAAGAGCACAGTGTATACTTCGCAGCCCAACCGCTTTGACCACCATCTGCTTAAGCCTGTAAAGGTAGTGAGGAAGGGTCAGCTCTTAATTTTACAAAACTAGCTCACAGTTTGCTCAGTTGCAACTCCAGTTCTAACAGAAACAGAAATATAGCACTTGTCTTAACAGAAACACTACGTAAGTTTCCCCCCACACACACACTTTTTTTTTTTGGTACCAGAAATTGAACTCATGACCTCACACTTGCTAGGCAAGCACTGTACTGCTGAGCTAAATCCCTGACCCCCTCCTTCTTTAGAATATGAGGCATTCTATCTGATAGGCAAATATTTGCAGTCAGATTCTGACTCAGTTTGGGATATTCCTTGTGAAAGATGCCCCAAGGTAAAGACAGAACAACGCATCGGGGAGTGTCTTGGTTACTTTCCTCTCGTTGCTGGGACAAAATACCTGACACCCAAAATTTAGGAAGGAAAGGTTTATTTCGCTTACAATTTGTGGAGGTTTCAGTCCGTACTTGGCAGGTTACAAGGCAGAGTGGCACATGGCAGAGGGCTACAGCTCATAGGGGCAGAACACAGCCAAAGCAACAAGCACACAAGGGAGGAATGGCCGCAAGCAGCCTCTTCCTCTCCCTTACATATGCAAACTATCCACCCCAGGGCAGTGTACCTCTCATACCTATAATCAGTAAAACTCTAAAAGCCTGCCCCATGACCGCATGAGGCTCTGGGGGGACACACAGACACAGAACATAGCAGGGAGCTTCCTTTTTCTAGTGGGTTTTGCCCCTGACTCAACAAGCCCTCAATAAACAGCAACCCAGAGACCACCATGCTTCCGCAGGCAAAATAATAGACTTCAGATAAGGCCCCTTAGTGGGGTGCTTGAAGCCTTTCCCCCAGGAGTAAGGAGAGCTCTAACGTGACAGCCTTTGCTGACTACAGACATCTGACTTGGGCCTTTTCTGCCCTCTTGCCAGGGCAGAAGTTGCTGGGTTTTGCTGCTGCCTTTGCCGTCTACGAGGCAGGGAACTTCCTGCAGGATGCCATGGAGCTCCTGCGGCTGTGCTGGCCCTGAGTGAGTGCACTGTGGGAATCTGGGTCTTCATGGGGAGTCTCACGATGCTGGAGGACAGGTGAGACGTCTAGACAGGATGAACATTGCTGGAGGTGCTACCTGCATCCATCCATCTTCAGCCATGTGTTGCAATGCCTTCTTCCTCTGAATTCTCAAACTCTTGGCCTTTGAAACCATGGTAAACACTTCCTTTCTGTTGGCACGTCATACTTCGATTGTCCCAAAGTGGAAAATATCTATGTGATGTGATTCTCATTGAAGTTTTTGTTTTGTTTTGTTGTACTGAGGATTGATTGTGCCCAGGGCCTTCACACTAAGCTACCTCTCCAGCTGTTTTTATTTTGAGACAGATTCTCACTGAGTCACTAAGTTGCCCAGCATGGTCTTGGATTTACCTTCCCCGTGTCTCAGCCTCCCGGAGTGCTGGGATTATAGGTGTGCATCACCATACTGGCCTTGTGAATAAGCATCTTGGGAGCCTCTCAGTTTGCATTCCCACAGATTTGGGGGGAAGATTCCACCTTTTCTTTCCCCTGCCGTCACTTTTAGGTGATTTAGATTGGGAATGAGAACGCTGTCTGTTGTCCTGTCTCTGGTGAGTTGTCCTCAGAGGGGTGTGCAGGAGGTTAGAAACCCACAGCGGCCAGGCCTTGCCCTTCAGCTGGATCTGAAGCTGGTCACAGGCACAACCCTCATCTGGTGTTAACCCTCTCCAAGATTCCTTGGTAGCAGCAGTCTCTCCCCTCCCCACTCCCTCCCTCCCTCCCTCAGCCCTGGAGCGCAGTACAAAATGTTTACATTCCTGTGTGAGTCGGAGTTGGTCTGTGTACATAACACAGCTTAATTCCTTTTCCCATCCCCCCATCTCTCGGTCCCCTTCCCGCTGAGAAAGATCCATCTCCTTACTTCGTGCCATCTTTTATGTTGCTGGTATGGGTTTGTGTCTGGATGGCCCCTCAAAGCCTCAAGCAGCCATGGGGCAGGCTTCTAGAATTTATGATTGATTCATGGTCCAAAGTTGGGATTATGGGTGTGAATGCTACACCTGTCCTGGGGCAGTAGTTTGCATACAATATAAGGGAGGGAAAGAGGCTTGCTCACTCCAAATACTCCTTCCTTTTTTGCTCTTGCTGCTTTTCCTGTTTTCTGCCTCCATGAACTGTTGCCCTCTGCCACACCACTCTGCCTTGGAGCCAGCCAACTATGGACTGAAACCTCCACAAACTGTGAGCTAAATAAACCTTTCTTTCCTTAATTTTGAGTGTTGGGTATTTTGTCTCAGCAATGCGAGAAAAATAACCAAGACAAAATTTGATACCAGAGAAGTGGGGTCGCTGCTGTGACTGTACCTGCCCATGTGGTTTAAGAGCCTTTGGGAATGGCTTGTGAGAAGAGTTTGGAAAGGTTTGGAGATCTGCCAGAAAGAGTAGAGCTGGAAAACCTTTGGCTGTGCTGTATGGGAGATCAGAAGGCTGATAGAAATCCTGCCGGTAAAGACCAGGTTCAGGAGGATTCTGCTGGGAAGAAGGACTGCATTGGCTGTTGAACTCCAGATGATGTGTATTATGGCTTGGCAAAAAGTTTGTCTGCATTTTGTTCATGTCCACAGACTTTGCCTGAGACTGACATTAAAGGTGGTGGACTCATTAATCTGGCAAAAGAAATTTCAAGGCAGTCAAACGTTGAGGCGATGGCATGGCTATTGCTGGGGGGCTTTTAGCCAGATTTATGTTGAGAATCAAGAGCAAAGAGCCCAGCAGGATGAATTAAAATGTGAGTTTGGCCAAGAAGCTCCAGTAAAGCTGTGGGCTGCAAAGGTGAAAGACTTTGCTTTGAGGAGAAAGCCCCAGAGTGCCATGTTCCAGAATGGAGGCAGTGGCCACACCAGATTCCAGAATGGCAGCGGCATAGAGAATTCATTCCTCAGAATTAGATTCAGAGTGCCCAGAGATCCAGGCACTCAACCCATATGGCCAAGAGAGAGGAAAGCTCGGCTACTGCTCCAGGTGGCAGCAGACCTTGGCATCATCCACATGGTGCTGGTTTTAGGTGCATGCAGGATGCAAGAGTTCTGAAGTTAAAAAGGCTTCCATCTCAATTTCAGAAGGCTTGGGTGGGCAGGCAGTGTGCCTCTGAGAGGGCAGTGTCTGAGCTGTGACTGTGAAGCAAGAGGTGCAATGGAGACCCCAGAAGTTTGGAAAAGCCAAGAACATGGATTGAGGAAAGCTACAAGGAAGGTGCCAAGTGGGCCCAAGAGAGAAGCCATGGGAGCTACAACCACCAGAAGTGCTATAGGGGCAGAGCCACATAAGGCTTTTAGAGCTCACCATGTGCCACAGATTGCTTCAGATGTTCCACATGGAACGATAGGACTTAGCATTTGCCCTGCTGGATGTTGGACTTGGTTTGGTCCCAATGCCGTGTATCCCCCAGTTTGTACTTTTTGGAATGGTAATGTTTATCTTGTGTGATTGAATATGGAAGTGTTTAACTTTTCATTTGTACAGGGGCTCACAGCTAAGAGTTTGCCTTACATCTTGGACGAGACTTGGGACTTGGACTCTTCAGCAATGCTGAAACTGTTAGGACTTTGGCAACTCTTAGAGATGGACTAAAATGTCTTTTACATAAAGGGATGTGCATGTGTCTTTGGGGCACCAGAGGTGGAATGTTATGGTTTGTGTCTGGATGTCCCCCTAAAGTCTCATGGAGTCATGAGGTGGGCTTCTAGAGTTTTTGGTTGATCCATGGTCCAAAGTTGGGATTATGGGTGTGAGTGCTACACTAGCTCTGGGGCAGTAGTTTGCATACAATGTAAGGGAGGGAAAGAGGCTTGCTCTCTCTCTTCCTCTTTTGCTCTCTCTGCTCCTCTTTTGCTCTTGCTGCTTTCCTGTTTTCCGCCGCCATGAACTGTTGCCCTCTGCCATGAGCCACTCTGCCTTGCCGCCCCCCCCCCGAGTATGGACTGAAACCTCCACAGACTAGGAACTAAATAAATTTTTCTTTCCTTAATTTTGGGTGTTGGGTATTTTGTCTCAGCAATGAGAGAAAAATAACCAAGACAGTTGCTCTTTGTTTATATTTCTGGTTTCTCATATAAAAGAAGCCATGTGCTATTTAAGCTTCTGAGTCTGATTTATTTCACTTAACACTGGGTCTCAAGGTGCATCCATTTTCCTACAGATGACTCAAGTTTACCCTTCTTTGTGGCGGAGTGGCACCCTGCTGTTTATCCATCTGTCAGTGGGCACAGAGGCTGCTCCCAAGATTTAGCTGCTATGGGCTGTGCTATGGGCTGTGCGTGCATCACCAAAGTGCAGCCCTGAGATTTGTCACCAGAGTGGCTTCTGGTTTGGTGGGAGGGAGGCCTCAGGGCTGGAGGATCTGGGTGGACAAAGCGGTACTGGGTGTCTGAGCTGCTGCCATTTGGTTTGCTGTCCTCTGCCACCGAGAGCATCTTCTGCCAACGTGGGCACGTGGAATAGCAGGCATAGTCCTTCGACTGGGAACTCTTATCTTTTCTCCTTAAAATACTAATAGAACTTTGTTTATTTTATAGACTGTAAGTAATTTTCCTTTGATGATAGTAATTTGTGTGCTTTTCTCATTTTGATTGTCAACTCAGACTGTAAATAACAGTATCACAAAATATTTACTGACTTTTTATTTTACAGAAGTGTTGCGCTTAGCACAAAGAGTAAAAACCCCATCTCATGGAGCAAGGACTGGGGAGAAATGTTGTGATTTTCCTAACCGTAAATCTCAGTCCCTGACACAGACTGGGTGTCAATGGGGTTAATAATATCCCTTAGTTATTATGGGCTGATCAGGTCTGCAATTTCCTGAATGAGTGTACGGTGAAGGCTAAAATACAGAGACAAATGGAATGACTTTGGGGCTCCAGGAGGATCAAAGCCCTCTCACATAATTCTTAATCCTCTCAGGGCTAAAACCATGACCTTCTCTGGGTTGCCCATATTTATTTGGTTATCAGAAGGGAGGAGAGTAGTCAAGAAGGGCAGAACCACTCAAGAACTTCCCTAAGTAAGGTATGAAGTTAATCCACTGAAAAATGAGATGCCTAAAGCTATAGTCTTCATCTAGTTGAGATCTGACCCAGGTGTCCTTGGCTGTGATCTTGTCTTGTCCTTTGAGGCTTTCTGGCTTCATCCACCATTACAAGTTCAGGTAGAGATTAGTGATTCACAGAGGTTCACTCACTATGAGTCTGCCATTTCCAGACAAGGAGCCTGGGCCTTGGACAGATTCACAAGTGAACATGGAAAGCCAGTTGGTTAATATTAAATCCCGCTCAGAGCCACTTTGTAGTGGTCTCCAACAGGTGTCCTAGCTCTCAAATCATTCCCCACATTCACTGCCTAAGGTTGCTGCGGACACCAGATGCAGATGGGACCTAGGCTACCTGCTTTCTCCCTGAGGCTGCCCTGCCCTGGCTCAGGGTTGGTAATTCCACAGAACAGCTCAGCGGTATGCGTGTGGCCGCAGTGGTGATGGAGGACACCGGACAGCCAGATGAAGGAGTGCGGGGGCAGGGCTTGGGAGGGCCCAAGCACAGGAGCTTCTGCCCCAGGCATGCAGTATGCTCAGCACTAGACATCTTCACAAGCCAGAAAGCTGTTCTGGCCTCCTTATTCAAGTTTCTATGGAAACTTCCTTACTCAGGCACTGTTGATGAAACCATGGCCACCGGCGACTGCACTCCACCTCCAGTCCCCCTCCTCCTCGAGTATGGGGGTGGTGGGGTGGCACAGAAGGTGCCCAGCCTCTAATCTCATGGGTGGCCAGCCCTTCTCTTGAAATCCTCTGCTAACAGGAGGGTATGAGCTCAAAGTCCCCTGAGGTGACGGACAAGAGCCTCCCCTACGGAGTTGAAGGAAACTTTACTATTACTGTACATTTAATATTCCGTAGCACATAACTGTGAACATCCAATACATCATAACCACCTGTTAGTGTTTAATTTTTCTCTGCTGTTCTCATTTCAATTGGGAAGTGTTGGGCTGCAAGTAACAGAAACCCCCATTCAGATGTCTTGGAAGATAAGGAAAGTTATACTCCACATGAGAGGTTCTAACTGTGGGTGCAAAGCACATAACTGTGGGTCCTTTCTTCAAAAACCATCCACCATTCGTGACAGCTCGATAATATTAATTTTTAAAAGATTTTCAAAGAGGTAGCAGATAATACCTTCCTAGGTTTGAAATATTAAATGATTTTTAAATATTCCAAACCAAAGTACCTCAGCCTAGTTTCAAATTTGAGTGCTTTTTTACGTCATGAGGAAGACATCTGATTGGTTTCTGTGTGTCTAGTTTCAAGTTGTTAAGCGTAAGCAATTCGAAGGTGATGAAGACATCTTCATATTTTCTTCTAAGCTTCAAGTCCACTGAAGCAGATTTACACACAATGAAAGTGCCTTGCAAGGACCACAGTAAATGTGCAGAGTGCTGTGAAAGCAGAGAAAGAGGACAGGTAGTATTTGAATGACAGAGCAGATGTCGAAATTGATGTCTGAGCTACATCTTCCTGGGTAAGCATGAGAGCTTGTCCCCCTGAGGAGCATTAGGATAGTGCAGGTAGAGACTGTTCATCTTCTCTTCATGGAAAAGGAGCAGCACACAAGATTCAGGAATGAAAGGTCCAAGAGCACATGTGTTTGGACTTCTCAACCCATTGGTACTTAGAGACCCACAGTCCAGGGCAGGTGACAAAAACTAAGATTGGTGAAACAGGTTGCTGCTGCTGATGGAAGACCCCATGTGTCCATAAGAAATAAGGAACCATTAAAGAAATTTAAGCAGAGTCAGATGAACAGCAGACAACAGACAAGACAGGACTTCAGTGCTGACTGAATCTATGCAACGAGGCAGGAAAGTGTTTGAGCCCAGTGGTCCCTTTCTTCAAGGGCAAGACCTGCGGTGTCAGAGAGAGGCTGAAAAGCAAATAAAGGTGAAAGGCAACAAAGTTCCCAAATGTAGGAATCTGCAAGCTGTAGCTTTATTAAAAGAATAGCCATGTGATATTAAGGTTATAAAAATTTATTTCAAATGTGAAAATATAAAAACCACTTACATATAAAATTTAAGAGTATGGATCCATCCAAATTTTAAGTTCTAGTTTTATAAATGTACTTAGGTTGGAGATGATAGTCACAGGCATAAATATGAAGAATATTAATCCTTAAGACAATGAAAATATAGGGGAAGTTACTATTTTGTCCCTGATAAGCACAGAACTGTCATATCCAGAGCTATGGATGCCCTAGAAGCCAGTTCCGCAGCAGCAGGCCTAGGCATTACATGGTCATGAGCAGCATCTGGAGAAATGGCCATGTGATTTCCTCCTAACCAATACAACCTGAGGGGACATGAAAAGAGTTTGCCGGGACAACCTCCAAGAAAGGGCTCTTCAGGCCTGTGAAGCAAACAGAAAAGACTGCTCATCTCCTTCCGGTTGTGACCAGGTCTGAAGGAGCCCAGGGAATACCTACGGTCATCGTGTGACCAGGCCAAGAATGAAGCCAACGCTCAAGATGGCAGTACAGAGAGAGGGAAGGAGCCTGGCTCACTGGTGACACCCGGCTACTGGACCCTGCCCTCGTTGAACCTCTCGTGTGGGGCTATAACTTTTCTTATCTTCCAAGCCATTTGAATGAGGGTTTCTGTTACTTGCAGCCCAACACTTCCCAATTGAAATGAGAACAGCACAGGAAAATTAAACACTAACCAGTGGCTATGCTGTATTGGATGTTCTCTAAGGGTCCTCCTCTTGGTAAATCAATCTCACTTACAGTCATTCAGAAACTTTGACGTTTACACAGTCCCTTCCCTCTGATTATCTTCACCAGCGTTTGATGCACTCACATATAACCAGCTGTCCTCTCATAAACTACTACTGGCAAAGATAAATGGGACAGAGGGGAGAGGAGCAGCAGCTGGGCCTTGATCCCAGAGAGAAGTTTCTCTCTCACAACCAGTTTCAAGATTGTGGCTGTAAAATTTCCCCATGGGAGCCCACAGAGATGGCATGCCAAGAACCTGATGGGCTTCTAACAGTTCCTAAAAATAAAACAAGTCAACACTTTCTCAAAGTGAACACTATATCCTCCACGTATCTGTCTCCTGGCCATGCTGACAGCGTTTGTATACATTTTCCATATCCTTAAAAATAGTGCATGCGGAATGCTAAGCATCACGTCTGCCATGTGGTATCATTAGCTACTGTCACCAGCACCGCTCTGCTTAAACCAAAGTCTGCTGTGCTACATCTAGCTCGGAGGGTGTCCCCACGTCTCTGAAGCACCCCCTACCAATTCTGTAGCGGATCTCTTTGCCTTCTGTAGCTCAAGTTTTGCTTTACTCTTATCAATGCATTTGAAATAGGTATGCATTTCGTGTTCATAAACAAGCAGCAACTTTGGCATTTTTTATCACAAAAAACCCATACGAGAAAGCAGGCAAGCCCAGTGAGCTTCCTGGGCGGAGAGACTTTTCTGTCAAAGCCGGCAGGGTCTGGTCATCCACCATCTTCAGAGTTTCACCATTGAGTTGGACCGACCTGCAAAGAGGAAAGATAAACTTGAGTCAGTCACACTGTGCAAGCCTACAACACTAAAGTGTTGTGTAATCTTTTAATTTTAGACCAAAATTTGGTCTGTAGCAGTGTATGTTATATAATGAGTATCCTACCACGTCCATGGTATTTGACCCAGGTGATCTGTGAGCTACCGTGGAGAAGAGTATTGGACAGAGACCTCCTGGCCTGCCAAGCCTGAAATATTTACTATCTGGCCCGTAGCAGAAAACAGAACATACATATGTATGCTCGGTAATGTGGCTGAGGGAGAAAAAGGGGAAATAGGATATATCTTGTGGAGTTGTGGCAATTTTACTTGGTGGAAAATAATTGAAAATATTTTATATAAAACAAATTGAGATCCCTGTGAAATAGAATGTAAATTTCTTAAACTTAAAATGATAGTCACAGATGTTTCCTATCAATTTGTCCATAAACTATTTAACTCCCCTCCTCGTTCATTACCAGAACATTTTGGCAGAATGTATATTACTATAATGAAACAAAAAAATAATGCTGTTTGGCAAAAACAGAAAAATGTCTATTTTCTGTGTATTTCACTGTTGGAATTCAAAACCTGAGTCATCAAATGAAAAAAAAAATGCACACAGAACAGACACTCCTATCACTTTAGAATGTCGCCAAAGCCTATTTTTGCTTATGGTTTCCTGATTATGGTCATGACATTTCCTCCCTGACCCCAGCAGAAAAACTGTTATGCTATATAGGTGTCAGTACAAAAGCCGACAGCTTTGGGCTTCCCCTGCAGCACAGCCATGGCTTTGTTACTGATGTGTCTTAGGTTACAGAAACCAGAGCTCAGCCTCTAACCCAGAAACAATAGAAACCGGTCTTTCCTCTTCGTGACCCTTAGTTGGGGTAGGGGATGAGAGCTCCTGAAAAAAATGAAAACGACACGTCATGCTGCAAGGAAACAACAAAATAACAGGGCAGAACTAAATAAATAAACTAATAACTCCGACCACGGCGTCCTGTGTAGCCACTGAAATTAAGTAGTAGGTGAACGTTAACTGGCGTGAATAAATAATGGAGCATGTTACAGTTTGAAAAAAAAATAAAGGGGAAAATAAATAAAGGAAGAGTACCTGGTGCTAATAATGCTTGTCTATGGGGGACAGGACGGGACAAGCAGACTCACACACCCCTGAAGACAGCACACACATAGCATTTGCCAAGACGGGCAAAGAAGGGGAGAACTGTATAAATCTTCACCTCTTACAGACCACTGTGAGAACGGCCATGATGAAGACAGCTCTCTCCAACACACACGGCAGAGAACCCTTAACATGTTCATATGCCTTGCTCTGCAAGACTGCATGATCCTCAGTTCTCTAGTGGGTGTGTACGTTTATAAGATGTATTTCAGTGTTAGCCTAAAGACCAAATTTTTTGTTTTTTCTTTTTGAGACCATGTAGTTCATGGCCTTGAATTCACTATGTAGCCCAGGCTGGTCTTAAGCTTACATCAATCCAAAAACCAAAATGTTTTACAACCAGGTTCAAATAATACATCTAGAATGTACTGGCCATTGTTTCTCACTCTAGCTAATAAACCCCATTTAAATGTTATAAGAAAGTCACATCCAGGTCACATAGCAGGGTATTCTATACCAGCCTGCATGCCCCTAGTAAAAATCATATAAAAATATATATATATTTTTTTTCTTTTTTGAGAACTAAGCAGTTCAGGCTGGCTTTGAGCTCACTTTGTAGCCCAGGCTGGTCTTGAACTCTCAACGATCCTCCTGCCTCAGCCTCCTGAGTCCTGGGATTACAGGTGTGTGCCACCATGCCTGGCATAAAGGTAAATTTTGGTTTAGCGATTGTGTTCCAAGAAATAAGTCTTTTCAGAGCTAATCATCTAAATGCATTGAATGGATGTGAACTATTTTTTAAGAAGCTAGTTTGTGTTCATCTCCTTCTGCTTTGGATTTCTGAGTTATGCTTTTATTCATACATAAATTTCCTGAATATTAAAAACACCATTAAAACCTGAAATACTTACCTTTTTTGGCTCCCTATCAAACTCATTTTGATAAACATCAATAGATTTATTCCAAGTTTGAAATGAACAAGGAAAATTACTCACTTGGAAAGTAATCCATCCGGGCCCGCAGGTTTTAGAAGGTACTTATCCACTTCTTTGTTAAAAAAGCGATAGGGTAATTGCAAGCGCTTGGTCACGTTACAGAGGTTTAAGGCATACAGAGTCAAATCTCCTTCTTTATACTTTGGACTAAAAGAAAACAGGTTAACTCAGTAAAGATATTTACTGGAACTTAAGGAAATAAGAACTTAAGGAAATAAGATCCATTATAAATAGGGTAATAGATACTAAGTATTAGTATTCATAATGATGATGGGGCCTGTTCATATCCTTCGTGTTAAAGATAATTAGCCCACTTGTGTGGTCTTATTTTGAAAATATCATTGAAAAGTTGTTCTTCCCACTGCCGTTTTCTGAGCCCGAGCTCTGAGATCTTTGCTCCTTTGCCAGGCTGAATTTCTAGAAAGACCACGCATTTTTACATATAGGAAGGTTAAATGGTAAAATGTAAATTTTGACAGCTCATATGAATTCAAATTGTGAATTGTACAAACAGGAGCTATTCCTAGCTTTAGAACAAATAAGAAAAGTACATCTTTGACATTTTTCAAAACGTATCCATTCCAACTATTCCCCTACTACCTCATAGAGGAGCCCTATTCAGAGAACTGTCAGGCACTGGAAATCAGAAATTCTATGTGGTCTTTCATGCTAGAAATAGTATTTTAGTATGGTCCTATTGGGAAGGACAGATTGAAAGTCAAAAGAAGAGAAAATCCCTGAGATTTAGGAAACACTTTTGCTACCTAAAGCCAGAGGTTGCAGCAATAAAATTCTGTCTAGCATCTCCAACTCTACAGCTGTGCAACTTTTCACAGTAAGATTTCTATCGTTCCTGTTTGCTTTCTCTTGATTATTTTGTTCTTTAGTAAATTTATCACATGATGCAAGGAAATAAGTATGTTCAGATAACTGTTTGTTTGTATTAACTCTTTCTCACATTTATATTCACTCATAACCCTTCAATGAATTGTTTGTATAAATATCATGTTGCTTTCTTTCACTTGTATTTCACTATTATTTATTACAATTCAGGAGATAGCTCCATTATACGTTAGGACCATTAAAATCATTATCCAAATCTTAGCGGGACTGCCAATGCCCATATTCAACCAATGCTTGTATTTTTTGTTGTTCTTTTGAAGTTAAATTCTGGTATCATATCGCTATGAATATAAAAAACCAAAACAAAACAGGAAGAAGAGCCCGGAGACACCCGCCGACACACCACACTGAAATTCGATGGCTGTTCCCGGTGTCTCACACTCACTGGTTGTTGTTGGTGCAATGAAGGTACACGCGGAGCTTGCCGTGGTCAGGGCCCTTCACGCTCACAGTGAACACCGTGCTGCCCACCAGCTGCTTGAACAGAAGAGACAGCCAATAATCCTGGTGTGATGCGTGGGGAAGGAGAGACAAAAGGAGATCGTTGCTTATTTTCTTATTCTTATTTTAACAAAACCAACAGAAGACGAACAGGTATTCTACAAAAAGGGTAGCTGCTACTCTAAGGGCATTTAAATATTTTTTTTTTTTTTGGATGCTGGTAACCACCATAAATTTGAGGGCAGTTGTTTTGTTTGCTGTTCCCTTCTATCCCTGGAGTTTTCTGTTTCCATAATTCAGAGGGCCATTGCCAGTAGAAGGCATATTTCAAGAACGCAACCCTCAGAACATGTACATAGTCTTGGTGGTCTTTCATCCCAGAACCCAAAGCAGAGCCCAAAGGACAACTCAGACACACAACTCACACGCATGCATACACACAAGGACATAGCTTTTAAATAAAGCTTGTTTGTTTAAGAAACAAGTAATTTCCTCTAAGACCTTCTAGTCCTCCTAATAAAGTAATGGATTAGGCAATCATCATCACTAGCTATCAAGTCCAGAAGAGAGACAGACATTATGTGCTTCCTGACAGAAGAATGCAACATCATTTGTGAGAATTCTTGTCAAAATTAGAAATTTTTAATAAGCTCAAGCTTCAGGTTTCCAGGAAACATGGGGAACAGAAGAACACGGCAAATGACATGACAGGAATAAATTTAGCAAAACCAAGAACATAGGAAACCCTATAGAACAAATTACCCAGTGTCTTTTTCTTTTTTTTTCTTTTCTTTTCTTTTCTTTTCTTTTCTTTTCTTTTCTTTTCTTTTCTTTTTTCTTTTCTTTTCCTGTCTTTTTGAGACAAGGTCTCACTATGCAGTTCAGGCTGGGCTTGAGCTCACTTTGTAGCCCAGGCTGGTCTTGAACTTGCAATGATCCTCCTGCCTCAGCCTCCCAAGTGCTGGGATTACAGGTGTGCACCACCATGCCCAGCCTCAATTTCTTTAATTAATAAAGTACAAAGAATAAAAGAGAGGGAAGAGAATTTAAACATATTTTTCCAACACCTTGGGAGGCTGAGGCAGAAGTATTACAAGCTTAGCCTGAGTAACATAGTGACTTAGAGAAAATTGTCTCAAAAAACAGGCTGGGATGGGGACATAGCTCAGTATGAAGGCTATGGCTCAATCCCTTATAACACTCTCTCTCTCTCTCTTTTTTTCTCTCTCTCTCTCTCTCACACACACACACACACACACAGAGTTAAGAGACATATCAACCAAATGTAATATATGAATTTTGGATTCTGATTTTGAATAAATAATATTTTAGACAATAAAGAAACATGAAACAACTAAATATAGTCAAATAATTCTTGTTGAAAACAGATATCCTCAAATGCCATTTTATACTATACAAATCAAGGTCTTACTTTTTATGGATTCCATCTTAATTTTCAGAGATACATATTTTTAAGGTGCAATTTTGGATGAAAGACTACATTTCCTGCTTTACTACCAGGTATTGTTAGAGATAGGGTAGAATGATATTTTATTCATAAATATCTTGAATATGATTAACTAGAAAATCAACTATTTTAAAAAATAAATACATAGGTCATGGATTTTTTGTTTGTTTGGTTTTTGAGACAAAGTCTTGCTGTGTAGTTCAGGCTGGCCTTGAACTCACTATGTAGTCAAGGCTGGCCTTGAACTCATGGCAATCCTCTTGCTTCCCAAGTGCTAGGATTACAGGTGTATGCCACTACACCCAGCTGGTACTGGCTTTTTATAAAGTTAAATAAATTATGATTTTTTTTTTTTTTTTTTTGGTTTTGGTTTTTCTCCGGTACCGGGAATCGAACTCACGACCTTGTGCTTGCCAGGCAGGTGCTGTGCTGCTGAGCTAAATCCCCAGCCCCCATAAATTATGATTTTGTGACATAAAAATGGAGCTTTGGATTCAATAGCAATTTTAACTTCGGTTCACTTCACAAAACATTTTTGATTCAAGATTGTAATTTTGTAAAACGAGCCATAAAATTTCAAATCATCCCTTTATGAAGAATACCAACAGCATTCTGCAAATGGCCCACATGTTAGTAAATTACTCCCGGATTTTGATCTCTTCTCTTGAGACACAAATATGTTCGACAGGATCGTCTCTAAGGTTTCTCTCAACTCATCCTCCCATGGCCAGGCTACTTGTGGGTAGGACTGACTGTTCCCTGGGGTTAGAACCAAGGGTCCCCAGATCTTCTATCTATCCGTGGAAACAGAGAATTAGCAGTCACTCACAGGTAGAGGTTTGAAGTTTTCATCCACTAAGTGGTAGTTTCCAGCACCAAAGAGCACCTGTCTCATCACCACATCGATGCCCATTTGCGCCGACAGGCCCAGTTTATCCAGCCACCTGGGACAGAGCAACACCCAGCTTTGTTCAGGTTTGAAAACACAAAGCACTCCGTGCTACTTACACACTATCCTTCCTTGCTCACCTACAGAAACCCAGAAGTGTGGCGTTAATGATAACTAAGCCACGAAGCGCAACGGCCACTAAGTGTGGCAGTGGACTCTCCACACTGTCCCACACTTGAGCTTGAGGGCAGAGCCCCGAGGACTCTCCCATCCAGGCCAAGACGACAGCTACAAAGCAGACAGCCCCACAGACAAGTTCTCACTCTGCAGCCCACCCTAACACGTGCAGTGTGTGAGGACCGAAGAGAAGACTGCAGTCAGAAGACTGCAGTGGGCAAAACACTAAATCAGCAGAGTCTCAGGTAAGGTGTCATGGACGGCTCAGCTCATCCCACCTGCCCAACTCTTCAGCTAATGGCAAAGCGGTATCTCTGTTCTCGTTATTCCTCGTGCCCTCCCGAGCATAAAGGATCTGTGCTTTATTCTAAATTGGTGTCAGCAAGCATGGGGAGGGGGACAAAGAGCAAGCTCTCAGGGTGACACTGCGGAACTCTCGACCAAGACAGCGGGACAGTTGCGTGTTCAGTATAAGCAGGCTGCAGGTAAAGCAATCAAGCTTGTGGCGTTCCACGCTGAGGTGACTTAGGAGATGTTTAAATTTTGGGGAGTCCCTCTAGTGTGACCTCAGACTTGAGGTTCTAATCTTCTTGGGAATCTACACGCAGGCGCATGCAGTAAGTATAGTTCTCAGAGCCACAGTGCTAAGCGCATTCTTTTACAATGAACTTTTGCTAGAGGAAAGACTCCGTGGCATGTTTTGGGCTGTAATTAAGACCGGAGATGTCTAAACCAGCTCATTATTACAATGATTCATTTGCAAAACCTGTTAACGATGTCCAACCAGCTTAACCCAACCATTTTCTTGCAAATTCTGGCGCGATTTGGGGTTGGGGGGTTCGCCACAAAGCTGCCTTTGACCTTGTTTTTGGCGGGCATTAACGGAAGGAGTCCCTGAGTCAGTGAGGTTCACGCACATGAAGCCAGCTGCAAAGGTATTGGACAGCAGGGGAGCCCCGCCCCCATACGCAGAGCTCGTCTCTCCCAACCAGATCTTCTTGCCGGGTCTGGTCTCCTTCACCACCTGGGAACGGAAAGGTCGCCACGGTAACTGCAAATAAACTGACCGACCACGGTGCTGAAGATTCACAGCCTTCAAAACCCGCGCACCATCACACCCATCTGTCCAACAGAGCTACACAATGTGTCCACAGTCACTTAGGTCCTGGGAAATTATCTTTTTTGGAATAGTAGGGTATGGAAGGAATATAAATAAACTCATTATTATGATCTGTAACTAGTTCTGTTGAAAGGCTATTGGGTTTATTTTTAATTTCTAATCAATATACCTGGGTAAAAGCCAATGCTGAGAAAGAAACTAAAGAGGAAGAGGATATAGTGCTTAGCCTCTAAAATTAGAAAAACACTGCACCGGGCGTGGGCACGCTTGTAATCCCAGCACTCGGGAGGCTGAGGCAGGAGGATCATTGGGAATTGTAGCCTGGGCTACAAAATGAGCTCAAAGCCAGCCTGAACTGCATAGTGAGACCCTATCTCAAAAAGCCCAAAACAATAAATAAAATTAGAAAAAAACGCCAGTGTACACACCTATAGAATTTACAAGTAACTAGACTATAAAAAATAAGGATTCTGTGTTTACAGGAAAAGTATTTAAAGACTATTACCTGTACAATTTTTTGCACTGATACAGTGAAAGTGTCCAACACATCAGGGTTTAGAAAGTCTTCTTTAGTAGCAATGCGACCATTCAAATAGTAGCTGTATTAGAAAATATTCAGGAAAAAAAAACAGGTTTACTTCTGCTTTTAAATCCATTTCAACTTTTTTCTCCTTCCTGCTTTTCTCCTCTCCTCTCCATCGTGAACAAAAGAGCAGGAAGTTCTCCCACAGAGGCACCAAAGGGAAGGGGACATGAGGAAGGGGTCATTTCTCCAAACAATTGGAAACTGGCCACAGCTCCTGGGTGACTCCTCTCTCTTTGGCAAGCAATTGGTCGTAGCTACTTTTATATACCATGAGTTAAAGGTAATGTCCCTTGATCTTTATATAAAATACCACATTACTTAAAAATAACATTAAATTGTTTTATTAATATTAAAATTCTAGCACAATGATGCTTGAAATATTGTTTCTTGTTTGAACTACGAAGCCAATTAGCAGTTGAGTGGAAATAAGTGTTTGAGACCTGGTGATGAATAAAAGTAGCTTTTCTTTCCCCATAATAAGAACAAGAGACGCTTACTGGTGCCATGTAACCGAATCTATCACCCCTCCGCCGGCCTGCAGGAAGCTAGAATGAAAATGTCATTGTGTTACTGAGGAGTCTTCCTACATAAGCACAAAAGTTGCTCAAGAATCTGATTCCCCAAAAGTGAGTGGTTACTATATTAAGCTCAAATACAAACTTCCTAATTCTGATAGCAGATTTCATCATCAGTGCACCCTTGGTCATCTGAGCCAATGGATTTGCTTTTGGCAAACCATGTAGTCAGGTGGCCAGCTCTTTAATAACATGTGGGCTGTTGTGATTTTCCATGAGACAGGAACATTTATTTTTAAGAAAAATGGCTCTGCCAGGGTGATGGCACACCTGTAATTCCAGCACTCAGGAAGCTGAGGCAGGAGGAACTCATAGAGCTCAAGGCCAGCCTGGGCTACATAGTGTGAGGCCAGCCTGAACTGTACAGTGAGACCCCCTGCCCCAAAGGAAGGAAGAAAGGAAGAAAAGAAGGCAGAAGGAAAGAAAGAAAACCAGCCCTGCTCCCTCTAGCTCTTACCTCTGCAGCATCTTAACTGTCTTTCCTCGAGGCTGACCAATATCCGGACCATAGAGTTTTGCATTTTTGAAAGTGGAATTTTGTAGAAGTTTATGCAACTCAATGAAATCTTTTCCTAACTGCCATCCGTCGATGAAAATACCAGCCTTCTTCCGGAAACTGTTAGGTTCTGAAAAGCAGCAATTCTCATGCTAATCACTTGCCTAACTTTAGTTTTTATATAACAGCAAACATACTCCAGCATATAAACACAACAAAACATTTTCCAAATTATGAAATCATGTAACTAAAAGTGAAGAAAGGTCAAACCTTTGTTCACAAAGAAGATATTCTAGAAAATAAAAATTTTAATTATATAACTGAGGCGGAGGGGGTATTAAACAACTTGATGTTATTAATGAGGATATTAAACCAACATATATTTTAAAAATAGTCTACATTCAGTTTTTGTTTTATTTTGTTTGCAGTACTTTGGATTGAACCCAGGGCTTTTGCACTGAGTTATATACCCAGGCTTTTTTTCCCTCCAGCCCTTTTTAATTTTTTGATTTTGAGATAGGCAATGTCTCCAGCTCCACCCCTTCCTTTTTTCAATTTCAGTATGGTCCAGGCTAGGCTTGAACCTGCGATTCTCCTGCCTCAGCCTCCCAAAGTGCTGGGATTACAAGTGTGTGCTACCACACTTGGTTCTATTTAATAACCTAATTTACTTTTTTTTTTGTTTTTGTTTTTTTCTGGTACAAGGAATCGAACTCATGACCTTGCACTTGCCAGGCAGGCCCTATGCCACTGAGCTAAATCCCCAGCTCCCGAATTTACTTTCTTAAAAGGCTGAGGAAAGTCAAGACATTTAATGCTCAGAACAGTAACTGGCATATAGCATGTGCTCATCCATTACTACATTTCATTTTCCACTTTATATCGTTTCAGTGGCTGATACAGTACTATAACAATATTTTGAACATGGAAAGTCATTAATACATTAGTTAGAATTTATAAGTAAGTACCTAGCCAAAAAAAGAGTGAGGGAAGAGACACTTATGAGATTGACCCAGGCAGGATTCTATATTGGCAGCCTCTGGATAGCTTGAGCGTCTACTGAAGGTTGTGATGGGGCTGGTGAGATTAAATGAGAGTTGAGAAACAGGGAAAGGAAAAGAAGAGCAAAGCAAACTACGTGGTTTGCATTTGCTGAGCCCAGCCTGCCACTTGTAAGAGGTGTAAGAGACTCTGAGAATCTCAAGGGAATCTGGGAGCTGGGGAGGTTTCTGACTGCAGTAGTTTGCCCCAACTCAAACATAACTTAAACAGGGATTAGCAATAGGCCCCAGAATATACTAAGGTGTTTTCTCCCATAAGCATTTCCAAAAGCTGTGCCTTGGGGGCTGGGGATTTAGCTCAGCGGCAAAGCGCCTGCCTGGCAAGCGCAAGGTCGTGAGTTTGGTTCCCGGTACCGGAGAAAAACCAAAAAAAAAAAAAAAAGCTGTGCCTTGAGCACTCATAAGGATGTGCCCAGGCTGAAGTATATTTGCTAATATTAAAAAAAAAAAAAAACAACCCACAAGTAGGCACAAATAATGCCACTGGGGAATCGCCTTATTAAGGAAATGTTCCTGGGGTACCTACCATTGCCTAGTTCCCAGGAAATGTCATAGCCCTTGGAAGAGCAGTAGTCCAGGAGCAGCTGGGCGTTAGAACTGTCCCACTGGGAATCCGCTGTTCTTAGCAACTCATTCAGACCAAAGATCAAGTCCAGTCCTGAGCAATTTGCAAAAGAGTACAGCATATCCACGGAGCTTCCTGCAAGAAACACACCACATTCAGTGTCAGGTGGGCACCAGAGAGGACAGCTCTGGATTGACTCTTCCTGGTGAGTTACTATTTCTGCTGTTAAATCGAAGGAATTCCAGGCCTAATGAGTGACCATAAGCATGTCTCAGTGACAGCAAAATTGGGCAGGTAAATTTAAAAAATCCATCTGCCTTCATCACTTCAGCTGATGGGGGTCTCATGGAGGGTTCCAGCAGCTCTGGTCCAACACTTGGGTTTTGTTCAAGTTACCACAGGCAAAGAGGAAACCATAATCCACCTAGGCCAGCCTGTGAGTAGTAGCAGGAATTCACTTTTCATAACCTAAACATCTCTATTTACAACTCAGTGACAAAATATTTGGGTAATTTGAATTATATTTAAGACCATTTAAAAGTCCTAGATATACTTTATTTAGAATAAATAAGGGGCTGGGGATTTAGCTCAGCAGCACAGTGCCTGCCTGGCAAATGGGAGGTTGTGAGTTCCATTCCCGGTACTGGAAAACAAAACCAAAAACAAAACCAAAAACAAAAAACAAACCCACCGCCCCGGAATTTTACATTAAAGAGCTGTCTGTTTCTAGGCCTATAGGGATGTGGTTCCCAAACTATGCTCCAAGCCACCATCCAAAACCACAGTAAATTCTCAGTTGCTAGATTTAGCAACAAAGGTATGGGACACCTAGTTAAATCTAAATTTCAGATAAGTCATGAATGGCTTTTTAGTATATGTATTATGCAAGGATTGGAAAATACTGTTGAAAAAGAAACAAATTATTGTTATCTACCTGAAATTCAAATCCAACCATACCCCCTTATTCACAGGGCACTACCAGGTGTGGTGGTGTATGTCTGTAATCCCAGCACTTTGAAGGCTGAAGCAGGAATACTGCTGAGCATTTAAGGCCAGCCTGTGCTATATAGTGAGTTCAAGGCCAGACTGAACTATACAGCAAGATCATGTCTCAAAAAAACAAAAACAAAACAGAACAAAAACAAACAAAAGAAACCAGGACATTGAAGGATCTTCTAAGTTTGCCAGGGGAAAACATCTGCGGGACATAACAAGAACTATCACTGTTGAGTTGTTTCAACTCAGCACATTAGCAATCAAACTCAGGTTTTTCTCATAACCTAGGTATGCTGTAAAAAAAAAAATTATAGAGGCACTAAATACTATAAGAGCCTGAAATTCCGTATTCTGCTTTTTAGACCATTAGCTTATCTATAATTATTTTTTAAGAGTGGCAACAATATAATTCTAAGTGTTGCCTTTAGGTCAATTATCATATGCATAATAAGTCCTTGTGATATGCACAGATATTTTAGTCATTTGTTAAACAGAAATTTACTCTGAATTCTCTTAGTTTAAAAAAAACCTCCACCTATGTGGCCACCTTCTATAGCTTTGCTCTATGAATGGCTTTGCTTCTGTCTTGCTTCTCAATCTGCAGCCTGGATCCCTTGGATGACCACACTGTGAAACTTGGTTTAACATGCCTGACAGAGGCTGGGGATTTAGCTCAGCGGCACAGCGCCTCCCTGGCAAGCGCAAGGTCATGAGTTCAATTCCTGGTACCCAAAAAAAAAAAACCAAAAAATAAATAAATAAAATAAAATGCCTGATAAGCCCGGCATGGTGGCACATGGCTATAATCCTAGTACTCGGGAGGCTGAGGCAGGAGGATCATTGTGAGTTCGAGACCAGCCTGGGCTACAAAGTGAGCTCAAGGATGGCCTGAACTGCATAGAAAGACCCCGTCTCAAAAATGACAAAAATAAATAAATAAATAAAATGCCTGCTAAGAGACTGCTGAGCAGGAAGACACTGGCAAGCTGTCAGGGTGCTGAGACGTTTGCTGTGTCACCTGCCACCTGCTATCAGGAGTAACAGGCATTCAGGTCCCAGAAGCTCCCGGGTATCATGGCCCTGGGTTCTGTTGGATTGTAGAATCACAGCTGTGGACAGCATGGGCTTTTATTTTTTTTATATTTTTTTAATTTTTTGTCTTTTTGAGACAGAGTCTCACTATACAATTCAGGCTGGCCTTGAGCTAGCTTTGTAGCCCAGGCTGGTCTAGAACTCACAGAGATCCTCCTGCCTCAGCCTCCCAAGTGCTGGGATTACAGGAGTGTGCCACCATGCCCAGTAGCACGGGCCTTTGGAACACTGAGCCCACTCCAAGCCCCCACCCTCTTCTGCCCATGAAGAAACTGAGATGCAAACAAGGTCAGTGCTTCGCCTGACACCACACAGCTCTTTGGTGGCAGTGCCACAGGGTGACTTCTGTGCTCCGCTATAACGAGGCTGCAGGCAGACACGCCATGGAGCCAGGCTGTGCCCTGCACTGGGCCAGTGTGGACCTTACATGTCCGTCCCCTCTGAAGGCTAGTGTGGTAGATGGCCTGGCCCCCAGGTTGTGTTAGAAGGAGGTGGGCGGCCTTCATGAGGGGCCTGGCTGGGGTCTTTAGGTCACCTTGAAGGGGACTGTAGGGCCCCAGGCTTGTTCCCACCCCATGCTCCTGGCCATTAGCTGGACAGTTTTACCGAGCCACACTCTCCCTGCATTGTCACCCAGCACCCCCAATGGAGCGTGAACAAAAATGTGTCCACTGGATCACCGACCGGAACTCCCAAAGCCAGAGCTGAAACGAAGCTTTTCTCTGTGTAAGTTGATTATCTCGGGTAGTGTCACAGTGGCAGGAGCTAGCACACATGGCCTGGAGTTATGAGCCCTGAGACCCCGGTCCAGCTCCCCCACTGACCCTCAGAGGCGATATCTTTATCCATAACATTGTGAAATAACTCAGATGCACAGGCTTAAATATTGCATGCTTTCTCACATGAGAAATCCAAAATATAAACAAAGAGCAAAAGAAAAGATAAGAAGAAGTAGGGAGATCTTTTTCAAATGGGAAGGGGAACAAGAGATCAAGGGGCGGGAAAGAAGATGGAAAATACAGAATTGAAAGGAATAAACGGAAATAGAGCTTTTGTAAATGGAAGGGGACCAAAAGGTAGAAAAAGCAAGGAAGGGTGGGAGGGTAGGAGGCAGAAAAAGAATGAAGATGTGGTATGTCCATCTACCAACTCCCCACGATAAATGTGATCATTATGTACACAAAAGTGTTCTCACAGCTGGGTGTAGTGGCGAACCCCTGGGATCCCAGCACTGGGGAGGCTGAGGCAGGGGGATTGCTGTAAATTCGAGGCCAACCTGGGATACATAGTGAAACCTTGTCTCCAAACAAAACACCCACAATTCTAACATGCCCTGAGAAAAATACTTTTAAAATATTTTTATCCCACAGGACTCCCAGCTATGGACTTATAGTCCCACCTTATCCCTATTCCATGACACCAAAGTTTAGACAATGTGGGTGAAAACTGCTAGTAAACCATTAAAAAAAAAAAAAAAGATGGGGGCCAGGGATGTAGCTCAGTGGCACAGCACTGCCTGGCAAGTGTGAGGCCCTGAGTTCAATTCCCGGTACAAAAAAAAAAAAAGATATAAAGCACTGTTGTTACCTCACCCCCTTACATTTTCAAACAGCATAGAAGTTTTGCATTTTACTTATTTATTTTTATTTATTTATTTTTTGTCTTTTTGAGACAGGGTCTGGCTATGCAGTTCAGGCCGTCCTTGAGCTCACTTTGTAGCCCAGGCTGGTCTCAAACTCACAACAATCCTCCTGCCTCAGCCTCCCAAGTACTGGGATCACAGGCTGTGCCACCACACCCAGCTCAAATCTTGCATTTTAGAGAGTTTACTCAACTGATACCTTACCCTTCCTCCGTTTCTTCATTCTTCTAAATGCTCTTGGAATTTATGGAGCTTGAAATTCTATTAGCACACCTCTATGCACTAACACCCACTGACACCTCTCAGGGTTAAGGCTATACCTTTCTAAGCTCAGCTGCACTTTTAAAGGGGTAGAGGAAGGGGAGGGGGCAGAAGGAGAATGTAGATGTGTTCTGTCCGTGCAGTACCTCCCTACAATGAACGGAATCACTATGCACTGCAAATAGGCCCTAATACAAATAAAAAGGAGAGAGAGAGAGAACCACCCGGCCTGCTTCCTCCCCTAAACAGAAAAAAACAGCAAGCGAACTCACAAATAATTATCTTCTCAATTTTCAAATTCATATCTTACTGTACGAGGGCACAGAAAGGCCCTTGGGAAATGAGGATGACTGAGGTGACACAGTAACCGTGGAGCTGACTTCTCCCCTTGCGCTACCCCATGGAAGCTGACAGAAAGGTGCCCAGCCTTGGAACGGGGTGTTGGGGTGAACAGCTGAGTGACCAGGAGGGGGGCAGGGACAGGAGAGTGAAGCGCTGGCTCTGTAAATATGATTAGTGTCATAAGGGAGTCCCCCTCCTTCCTGCGGTCACACCCAGAATTACAGCCGCACCTTTGCTGCTCTTTCCTGCCAAACAGGTCCACAGCGTGAGTCTGTATGCTTGTGATTGTTCTGTCATCTCCCGCTGAGGTACAGCAGGCCACCCAAGAGGACCTGCATCCGGAGACCCACCTGCACTGTCTAGGGCACAAGTTGCCGGTGTAATCAACACGTCCTCGCCACGCCAGATGTGTGCTGTCTCCTCCACTCTGTGACGACCCTTGGTCACTCAGTCATCATCAGCCTCAGCCACTGACTTCTAAAGTATTTGTCGCTATAGGGGCTGGGGATTTAGCTCAGTGGCAAAGCGCCTGCCTGGCAAGTGCAAGGTCGTGAGTTCGGTTCCCAGTACCAGAGAAAAACCAAAAAAAAAAAAAAAAAAAAAAAAAAAAAAAAAAAGAAATGCAAAGTATTTGTTGCTATGATGGCCAGGCACCTAGACTAAGCCTAGTAGATTTCCAACTATGCTTCTATGACATGCGGATTAAAATGGATAATTTCCAGCCAGAGGTCAAAGTTTCCCATTATACCTTCATATCTGACTTTTATATGAGGAATACACTCATGTTTTCCTTGATTCCCTAGCTCCTGAGAGCAGGACGGGTCATTATTAGTTCATGAGCAGTTGGTTTCTGTATCTCACTGTGTGATTACTAGAAATGTCAGATGAGAGGAAAAAGTAAGAAGTCTGAGTTCAAGATTTCCCAGTAACTTCTTTTTTGATGCTGGTTTTTTGTTTGTTTGTTTGTTTTTTTCTTGTCTGACTTTTTTCCGGTACTGGGAATTGAATTCATGACGTTGCGCGTGCCAGGCAAGCGCTGTGCCACTGAGCTAAATCCCCAGCCCCTGATGCTGGTTTTTGAACCCTGAGCCCCAAGCATGTTCTGCCATTATGCTGTACCCCAGCCCTGCCCCGTAACTCTGGGCAGCATTTAAATATTATTCAGATTTACACGACTGATGCAGGGCATATTAAATTCAAGCCCAAGTCCAACTCATCCAAACCCAAAAGCGCTCGGCTGGAAGACCAGCCAGGGATCACCATTTCTTACTTGAGTAGGTGGTCGTGTTGAACTTTTTCTGGTATTGTTCTCGGAGTAGCAATGTCTCCTGGAACAGCCACTCCGAGCGCAGTCTTTTCTCCACCTTGGAAGGGAGGGACCTGGATTTGCAAAAATCTGCAAGTGGAAGAGAGAACTTAGAGAATTTGTTTTCACAGCAATAAGGTTGAAATACTGGACACCGATTTGATTAGATGTGATATTAGTGAAGCAGGAGGTTCTAGTTATCAGGTGTGACAGCAAGTGCTAAACTTGCTAACTAACCACATAAGAAAAAGCCAAAGGGCTGGGGATATAGCTCAGCGGCATAAGCACCTGCCTGGCAAGCACAAGGTCCTGAGTTCGATTCCTAGTACAAAAAAAAAAAAGCCAAAGAGCAGGTTTCAAAGAAATATTCAGCATCCACTGGACACAGAACATCAGACATGACTTCAGGTTATTTAACAATTCAAAAGCCTCCTAAGAGACTTGAAGTTACCAGGAACCTAATGAAGAAAACATTGTTCAGTTCTGGTGTGGTTTGCTTTCAAAATACAGAGGCATTTGTTACTCAGAGGATGTATGCCCTTAGTGGAATTTCCTCTTGCTATAATGAAGGTAGGACACAATTTTCTTGATGGTACTGGGAGTCGATCCCAGGGCCTTAGCTCTGAGCTATACCCTCAGTCCTTTTTTCTTTCTTTCTTTCTCTTTCTTTCTTTCATTCTTCCTCTCTCTCTCTTTCTCTCTTTCTCTCTCTTTTCTTTCTAATTTTGAAACAGGGTCTCATTGTCACAAAGTTGCCCAGGCTGGGCTCAAAATTGCAATCCTCCTGCCTCAGCCTCTCTGAGTACTGAGGTTCTATGCAGGCACTACTCCATCCAGCTTTTTGTTTCTGAGACAAGGTCTTGCTATGTACTTCAGCCTCGCCTACAACTCAAAATCCTCTGCCTCAGCCTCCCAAGTGCTGGGATGATAAGCGAGACACCACTCTGCTAGTTGGTTACTGATTTCTCTCCATTTCAACTTGGTATCATGCAAACTTCCTGGTCTATAACACATGCACTGGAAACCACCGCCACCCTGCCTGGCAGCCTGCACTTCTTCATCACAAGACAGCAGGGCTGGCCAGGGGCTGTGACTCTCTTCCTGGGAAGCTGCATACTCTGACTGCCCGACCCATGTCTCCAAGGATGGTTCACAGGAACTTGGATAATCCCAGCTGGGACAACTGCTGAGCAGGCAGTTTCCTGTCTGAACCTATGAGACCTTGGGGACGCAGCAGATGGGGAGGGCCAAGTCTAAGCGCACTTATTCAAAGACAAGCCTCCTACCTTTTTCTATTTTTTCTGTGGGCTTCTCTGCCAGTTTTGGCGTACTATTTGACTAACTGTTAAATACATCCTTCCTGAAGAAAAGCAATAGAAGGAAATGCATGATATGTAGAATAATTAAATACAGCTCATTAATATGGATATTATGCTCAAGGAGGTACGCGGTGTACTTAGCAATTGTTCAGAAAAGGATTTAGCTTCCCTTTGATGTCTCACAGCACATCAAGTACATCCTGTAAAGACGCAGAACACATCTTCCTGGCTCCCTAGGGTGGACTCTTAGGAGAGCCAGACCTGCAATATCGGAATCACCAGACAAGCTTGCTAACGTCAGAAGGTGAGAGTGGGCGGGACCCAGAGAACCAAACTGTCAAACTCTCCTTAGGTGATACGCAGAGGCAGTGAAGTCTGAGAAACATCTTCCAGTCAATCAACTCTTGGAATCCCTCTTAGAAGCAGAGTGACCCCACGCCTCCTTGTGAGACCTTTCCCCACATCCCACCTGCACAGCACACATTCCCCAATCTGTGTGCCGCAGCTGGAGGAGTTCCTGAGTCTGATGTCTTCCTACCCACTTGCTTCCTCCACCAGCTCCACCTGGGCTGTACCCTGCTCTATTTATAGCACCCTTGGCTCTCAGCCGGCCCAGCACACCTTGCCTGGGAGGTAAACACCAGGAGAAACCTGCCCCGGACTCCTTCCTCTGTAACTGTCTCCACTCACCCGTGAACCCTTTAATCTGTTGTTAGGTATAAACAGCAACACATTTCTGAAATACTCTCAGGATGAATCCAAGTTAATAATAACATATAACCCTTAAAAAGTTTCACCTTGCTTGACTTGAGATGGCCAGCAACTCCTCTCTTCAAAGGTTGGTTCTTTCTTAGGGTCAAAAATGAGGAAGTCTGTCTTGGTGCCACCAAATCTCAAGTACGCAGGAGCCAAACCTCTGGCCAAAGTCCGAAGCTTGGAAGAACTGCGAAGAACACAAGCAAGGAACTTTCGTAATTTTTTCCAAGGCAGTTCAGCCAAGCACTTTTACTTCCTTTCTCCCGGAGGACCTATTTCTTAACCGCCAGCAGTTACTTTGCCTGAGGACCCTAGAAAGTGGTGGATAAAGTCGAGACAGATTTATGTATGGAAAGAATAGTTTCAGTCTTTGGTTGAACGCTGCGGGGAGGGCGGCGGGTCTCAAGGTTACTCTTGAAGAGCACCTTGGAAGACAGAAGCACCACTTGCTGAGATGAGGAATGGGTGTAGATTGGAGGTGGAGATGAAGGCGGAAGGGGCACAGGGGTTCAGTTGTGTAGAACTGAAGATGCCAACGGGCTACTGACGCCAAATTTCCACCTGGCCCTTGGCCGCGTGCGTCTGGCACTCAGGAGACACGTTTAGGCTGGGGAGAAGATGGTCCGTCCTCAGCTGTTAGTGAAGCCAGTGACTACAACCCCTAACACCGCCAAAGCTGGCATGAGGAACGTCCCCAGAGAGGATCGCTTTGGCCAGGCCTCCATTCTGGTCATTAGCAGCTGAATGCGTCTGATGACAGGGCAGATGTACTTGGGTTTGTGTGGATGGTTTCTGGCTGCAGTTGACAGTTGGCAAAGAGGTCAGTGCTCTTCAGGAAGTAGGGGGAAAACCAGCACCTGGAAAAGGAGCTGTGGCATCCAAAGGTGGCCTGGGTTGGATACCTGGGGACCGGTGTCTGGTCCGCAGAGGTGCGGACTGGAGCGTGTGGGAGGCTCCCTACTGCATGTCCCTGCCTGACACCTTCATGGCATTCGCCACTCTGCACCTGCTGTCCTGCGTCTCCTTGGTTTCCTATCTACCCCAGCCCTACACTGACAGCAGAGACTGTGAATGTCTGGCTTTTCACAATCTCTCCAGGACAGAGACCCAGCCAGCACACAGCTGGTGCTTAATAAATACCTTGAAGGAAATGAACCAGGTAGACCACCTGACGAAAGGGCAAGGAGAGGCCAAAGATTACTTTGTGGGCAACACTGAATTAAAACCCAATGTTACAGCAGCTCTTGCTGCAAAAGGAAATCACAAGCCTCAAAGTTTTGGTGTAAAAGACCTTTTTGTTTCTCTTCTGTGCGGTGGAATGCTTTCATATTTTGAGAATACAGTATTGATCCTCCCCGACAAAAACCAGATTTAATGCAGCTGCAAAACTTGCCATAGAAAAGAAATTGGGGGCAATCCATGCAGGACCCCACCTGTCTCAGGAGCTATTCTTACCCCCCATTTCCCCATTCCTATTTCCCATTCCTTTGCTCCAATAAATTTTCCTACTCCTAAAAAAAAAGACGAATTGGTCAGAGGTGCAGTATTTCAGTCATATACAGGAAAGAGGAAAGGAAAAGGACCCAGCACCGCTGTGACTCGGAAATAACAAAAGAACTCACGACAGCAGCTGCAGCCTTTCCCGTTCCAGACAGTGCTCTGGGAGAACAAGACCCTGCAGGCGTCTTTACGTTTGCGCTCAGTGGTAAATTGCTTACCTTTGACACAAAAAGCAGAGGCGGTTTATTAAAATGCACTAAATATTGAGAAATATTTTCCCTTTCCAGATTGGGGGGTCCTCCCTGGGGATTCCAAGAGGAGAAATTAGGGTTGGCCTAAGTCAGGGCTGGAATTTCGGCAGGAGAAACAATGGGGCAGGGGCTTGGGGTTACCATGGCAAGAGGGTTTGAACGATAAATCAAGAAGCCCAAATCAGATGAGGAAACAGCAGAGCAAAGCAGAAGCTGCCCAGTGGATGTACTTTAAAAGGCGGTTGTGGGAACTATCTGACCATAAGGAACTGAGGCCAGGGAGCTGTGGTGTAACAAGGCCGGGATATAAGTTTTCAGAAGTGAGAAGGCTGTTAGTCACGCAGGGAGTCGGGCTGGGCTGTGCAGAATGCAGTGAGGCCAGGTGCTGACCAGCCAGGGACGGGAGAGAGGTGCCCGGGTATTAGTGATGGCCAGCGTCCACGCTACGAATGCTCCCACCGTGGCCGGTTTCAAGATAGCAGTGTGATGTCCCTTGGTGCCGGAGAAGAAAAGCGCTCACCTCCCGAGCTCGTACAAGCTGACTCCACTGCAACACTGGGTGAAGATTACAACTAAGGTGTGGGTGAAGAAACAGAGAGACTACTCGGGCGGACCTGAAGTCATCTAGATGACGGTGGGACTTGAAGGTGATAGGAGAAGTAGGAGGGGATAGCACGCAATGACAAGGAGCGTTGGATGAGACCCTCCCGGTGGATTTGTGACAACCACCTCTAATAAACACTGAGTCCGAGAGGAGAGTTTCATGCACACTGCATGGATTTTTCCCAAGTCTCAGGACAGCCCAAGGTAATGGGTGTTGTTATGATCCTCACTTTACAGACCAAGGACCTCAACAAAACGCAGCTAAGCAAACCTGCCCAAGGTCACGAGTCAAGGGATCTGAACCACAGCTCTAACTAGGGGCCAGCACCTCAGGCCTGCCCTCAGGATCAGAAAAAGGACTGAACTCCGGCAGAATGCGCAGCCTGTCCTCAAGGAGTGACAAGGGAAGAGGGCGCCTGCGGAGACGTGCCCCGTGTGAGCACAGAGGACAGAGCAGGGTCGCCATGCCAAGGGCTTTGGGGGTGCAGAGGAAGGCTGGGGAACACCAAGAGCACAGCCAGGCGTCAGACCGGGACTTTTCTCAGCCCTCGGTCTCTCTTTGCCGGTCGCTGTTTCTGCCAGCAGCAGATGCATGGAGGATCTGTTGCTCTTTCCGTCAGTTATGAAAATGTGCTCTTCCCATGGCTAACACATGCTTTTCCAAATACGAAGGGCTACTTTGCCCATGAAGATAGCTGAATCTAATTGTTGCAATTCATTTCTAATGAGTATTTATCGGGTTGACAAAAGCCAGCAGGACCGTGTCACTAACACTCTTGCTATGCAGCACCCCTCTCCCCATGCGTGCCACGGTTTCCACACCCAGGCTGCGCTCCACGCCTGGCGTGCACAGAGAGGCGCTGTGTTTGTGGGTGGGAAGCACAGCCGCACTCCCTGGAACGGCAGCCACCAGCTACACAGGGGCCTGAGCTGCTGAGCTGCAGTTCATGGCCTAGGCAGTCAAATACCAGGTCTGAAAGAAGAAATACTGGGGCTGGGGATTTAGCTCAGTGGCAAAAGCGCCTGCCTGGCATGCGCAACGTCGTGAGTTCGGTTCCCCGTACTGGAGAAAAACCAAAAAAAAAAAAAAAAAGAAGAAGCAATACTGAGCATCTCAGGAGTAGCTTATATTGATCACACGCAGAAATGATGATAGTTTGGATCTACCGAGCTGGATAAAATTATTAAACCATTTCACCAATTTCTTTGTACCTTTTGGAATCGGTGTACTTGAAAATTTTAGATTACAGATGTGCTAGCATACGAGGCTCACATTATATTTTATTTTGCTTTCTATTTCTAGGTCCAGGGCTTCTTGGGATTCTGCATAAAGTCAGGCTAAGGAAGCCGTTTGATGGGCTGTTGATTAAGGCCCCCTTCGGGAAGAGAGAATAAGAAGATGCTCTTCTTCAGTTGCTCTAAACTGTTCCATCATTGGCATTTCAGTTTTGTGTACTCTGAGTTCTGTGGCTACAGATGCGGAAGAGCCCACTTGTCACCTTGGGAAGCTAGAGTGAAGCCATCCGCCTCGATATGCTCGGACTTCTGTTGAGAACCTCGGAAATTCAAGCTCTGATCCCTCCTACCCTCATGCTAGTGCTTCCTTTGATCACACTGGTCGCTCAAGTTGTCTCCAGATGATTTTTTTTCTCATGTGCCTTGTCCTGTTTCCTTTTGAAAGAAAATCTGCTTTGCTTTCTTCTGCATACAGTGTCCCCGTGACCAGAGTCTGGTTCTAGACTGCTTTCCTTCGCCGCCTGGCTGACCATGGCCAAGTTACTTGGTCTCCTTGAGCCTCGGTTTCTTCATGTTTAAAATGTGGATGATAACAGATCCGCAGGGCTGTAGCCAGGCCCGAATGCACTGGCACCCAGGAGGAGCTGTGAACAGGGCCCGGCAAGAGACACAGGCTCAGAAAGCACTGCCACTTATTTCATCCTCACCTTCCTCACTACTTCAGTATGTGCCATCCCAATCCACACACCTTCGCTTTGGGGACCTGAGAAAAACCCATCTTGCTTTCCTCTGCAGTGCACAGACATTAAATTTAGTGTAGCCTCGTGTCTTGGTTACTTTTTTCTTATTGCTGAGACAAAATACCCGAAGCCCAAAATTAAGAAAGGAAAGGTTGCCGGGCGTGGTGGTGCACGGCTGTAATCCTAGCACTCAGGAGGCTGAGGCAGGAGGATGGCGTGGTGGCATACTCCTATAACCCCAGCACTTGAGAGGCTGAGGCAGGAGGATCATTGCGAGTTCGAGACCAATCTGGGCTCCAAAGTGAGCTCAAGGCCAGCCTGAACTGCATAGTGAGACCTTATCTCAAAAAGACAAAAAAAAAGGAAAAGTTTATTTAGCCGAGTTTGTGGAGGTTTCAGTCTGTAATTAGCTGGCTCCAAGGCAGGGTGGCATGGTGAAGGGCAACAATTCGAGGTGACAGAAGACAGCAAAAGCAGCAAGAGCAAAATGGAGGGAAGAGCAAGCCTCTTTTCCTCCCTTATATTGTAAGCAGGCTGCCGGCCCCCTAGGCTGGGTGTAGCACTCACACCATCTCTGTCCCCTCCTTTTGCACAGGATGAGGATGTTTACCAAGTGAGGACCCTGGCCCCCTGCTGAGTTGCTTAGTTAAACTTCTAAACTTCTCACATTCACACAGTGTATCAACCATGACACCTCCCAACATGGCTGCCCACCCCACAGCTGCGCTGCCACCCTGAGAAGATGGACCTCAGCCCTGGTTTTGCAACAAAGTCTCAGGTCGGGAGAGGGAGTTCCTGCCTCTTCTGTCTTAGCTAAGAGCAGGGAGACAGGGACTGGTGGGTGGCCTGGGGAGCAGGTGTGGAGGACGTCCCCCAGGGAAAGGGGCCACAAATGGCCAGGGGCCAGCCCTGGAGAGAAGCCTGCAGAGGCAGTAAGGCAAAAGGAAAAGCGCAGCAGACAAACAAAACAAGGCAAGAGACACTCATGTCTACTGCCTGCCCTGTGTTCTGGGCTCCTCTGTGCTCTCTGGTCTTTAGCAAGCACAGGGGCAAGAGGGAGGAAAGTGCTGGAAGCCAGGAGACGTGCTAGGAGGACCAAAGGCATAGCTCTCACTGCCCTGCAGACTAGAAGGTCCCCGTGTTCAGGTGGGCTGCGAGTTCACTGTGGCTGACTCCTCCGCTGAGCGATCGGGCCTGGACACTGAAAGCCTCCTGCAGGTGTTTCTCTTTCCTGGGCTCAGGTGTACACGGCCTGCAGCCTGAACTTGAGGCCTCACGTTTCAGTCAGTGGACATCTACTTCATGCCCATTTTCAGGAAGGCAATCGTCCCCCAATGCCCGGGGTCCAGGGTGCCTGTCTCTCTCTCATCCGCCAACCACCGCTGGGTCAGCTTCCTACCCCTACGGGGAAGGCCGAGATGGCTCCTCCCCAGCGGGAAATTCTCTCTCTTCTGCCACAGGGAAGGGACGGGCTAAGGATCATCGAAAGAAACAGAAAAGTGGCCAACAGTACCAAACACTCACCATTCCCCAGAAAGAAACAATCACGCTAAACTCTAAACACTGCGTCAAACACTTATGACCTCATCAAACCCTCGTCTCCCAGACGAAGGTTCTAGAAAGTCCACTCTGTCAGAGGTGGCTGAGAAACCTGTAAAAACCAAGTCACCCAGCCCTACCGCACACAGCTGGGGCCAGGTGTGTGGTCTGACTGCCCAGGCTGTGCAGGTGCGGTCCTCCCTGGAGGCTCCAGGGCCCCGGGTGACTTTGTGCTGGCCCTGTAGCTCCTCATTTAGGGTCAGTCTACACGGATGGGTGGGAGCCACAAACCTGCCACACGGCTGATAAAGTGGCGGCATCACTCGGCAGCTCACTTTGGAGAGACGGCTTCTCCCCGGGGCTCTGTGAGTCACTGCTATGGGCTCCTGTGTCTCACTTATCTAATATTTAGGTTACTGAAAGAATTCAGAGAAATAACACTTATTCTCCTTTGACACCTTTCCCATCTAACTTTTTAAAAAAATACCATCATCCTAATAGTTTGGTTTTTTTTGTTGTTGGTTTTTTTCCAGTACGGGGAATCGAACTCACGACCTTGCGCTTGCCAGGAAGGCACTGTGCCGCTGAGCTAAATCCCCAGCCCTCATCCTAATAGTTTAAAGGAAGACATCTGAACCACCGGTGTCCTCACTCTACCCTTTGGATGTGTCCCAAGGCAAATCCAAAGCTCCTGCCCTCAGGAGCGCTTGCCCGGGTGCCTGCTCCTGGCCAGGTGGTGCGCAGGTGGCGCCTTCTGGGCGCAGTTCTCCCTCAGTACGCTCAGCTGGCTCAGCCAGCCTGCGCTGAATGAATGGGGAAGGGGAAGCGGCTGGGAGCTGGCCGCGGGAGGACTGCCGCGGGCAGCATCCACACCCCAGAGCACAGTTTCACTGCAGAGGGGAGGGACGCGGCCGGTGAGGGTCGCAGGACAGGGGCCAAGAGGACAGGATGGGACAGAGCGGGAGCCCGTGCTTACCCCAAGAAGGCGAGGAAGCGCGGGTTGGTGGCCAGGTTGGCGTCGATGGTGAAGGACAGGAAGGCGGGGCTCACGGAGCGCAGCGGCCGCGCGGTGGCCAAGTCCAGCGGCACCGAGTCCGCGGCCCCGGCCTGCGCGGCCCCGAGCGGCCGGAGCAGCAGCAGGAGCAGCA